CAGGCAGGCAGGCGGAGGGTGGACGGGCTCCCATCTGACAGCCAGCTTCCCCACACATGCCCTCTCCCTTAGAGCAGGGAAGAGGAACCAGGGATGCCCCTAGCCAGGAAACCCTACTGTGCCTGCAACTCCTTCCCCCGTGGCTCATGGCTCTGTCACGGCCTGAGCCTCCTGGTCTGACTGTACCAGAGACAGGGTGTCGGGCCCCAGGGATGGAAGGGGTGGGGCATCGGGGGGCTCTGAGGATGTCTCTGGCCCCAACCCCAGCTCGGCATTCAGCTGTTCCAGCTCCCCCTGATCCAGCAATTCGAAGTCCTCCGTGGTGAGTGCCTCTTCTTCCTCGGGGGCAGGCAAGGGCTGGGGCAAGTCTTGGGGGAGAGGGGGGAGCATGGAGGGGGAGGGGGAGGGGGCTGGGTCACTCTCAGCAAGGCAAAGTAGGGGTGACAGGGTGCTCGGTGCAGTGGTGAGGTCACCACTCACTGCCTCTGGGCTCAGTGTCTCCACTGGTCCTCCCGGGGACAGCTGCACTCCATCTGTGGGAGAGCCCGCCCCATTGAAGTGCGTGTTCACAAAGTGAAGGGGGGACGAGAGCCGAAGCAAGGTTTCCTTGGCTACCACATCTTCCTCCTCCTCTTCCGAGTCTAGGTCTTGCCTTGAGAGGGCCTGAGGGGGGCCCAGCAGGTCTTCGGGGGGGGCTGGCTCAGTCTCCTCTCCTTCTCCCAGCTCCCGGCTCAGGGCCTCCTCTGGCTCACTTGGCAGGCTCTGCTGGTCCAAATCTGTGCAGGAAACAAAGGGTCAGGAATGGGTGGATGGGCCTGCTGTTCTGAACCATCATAACAGGCACTCAGTTCAAGGATGAGAACTCAGGACATGGAATACTGGACCAGCCTCAGGTGTTAAGGTCTTTCAGGAGCTTGAAGTCAAATTAGAGGATCAGTTCCCAGAGGAAATATTTACAGGGGTGACAGCCAAAGAGCACAGCCAACATCCACAACAGGAAACAGGAAGATTGGAAGGGCAAAAGGCTTCTCATACCCTCGGAGACATCAGTTAGTTGTGGAGTCGTGGCCCGGGATACAGAAAAGCCACCACTCTCCAAGATAGAAGCCTCCTCATCTGACAGCTCTGAGTCTGTAATGGCCAAAGCCAAGGCTGTTTTCTTCACATCCACCTGCAGGAGAACCCAGACAACACAACAGGTGAGAAGAGATCCAATTATTCAAAAATACCCCCCACTGATTCCCAGTCCCTTGGGAGGTGGCTGCTCTGAAATGGATGCTCCTCCAGCGTTCTACTTGACATCCCATCTCCCTTGGACCTCACCACCGGGGAGAAGCCAGCCAGTTCTGCTTCGCTTTCACTCTCGGTCTCTGCCAGTGGCTCATCACCTCCGGGGGGTGCGTTCTTCCCCTGCCGCTCTAGAGAAATAATAGCAGAGTAGTGACCAAGTAGAGACCGTGGTGGAGGACAGACATGGCCAAGGAACTGGAAAAGAAGTTCCAAGGCACTTCATGAGCCGTAAACCAATGCCCTCCCCCAGGGTCCCCTCTTGGGTACAGGAGCCCCTTACTCTTCTTGTCATGTTTGTGATGCAGGGCATCAGCTTCTGCTTTCATGCTGTAGTCCAGCTGCATGAGCAGGGGCTCCAGGCGAGTGTACATCCTCTGGATCAGCTCATGATAAACCACCAGGGGCCACAACAGGATGCTCAGCACTAGGGGTTAGAGAGTTCACTCAGAGCTCCCTGTGCCTATTTCCTAAGGGCCCCCATTTAACCGGTCCCTAAACAGAAAGCTTTCTGGAGACTGTACCAACCTCCTCCCTCCACATCTCCTACTCTCCTCCCCAGGTGATTCTTCCGCTGTTATTAATTCTCCAGCATCCCCTGGAGATCTCCGTGAATGGACAACCAGAGAGGAAGAGAGAAAGAGCGAGTGCACGCACCACCCTCCCTTAGAGTCAGTCAGTCCCTTTAATCCAGTGCAGTAAAAGAGAAGGAAAGGCCTTCGGGAAGGACAGAGATTGAACCCTACTCACAGACAATGTAGGAAATCATAATCCCCGGAACGTAGTGTCCCAGCACAGCCAGCACAGCACAGCCAGAACAAACTCGAGCACAAAACTGCAGAGAGAAGCAAGGCTAAAAGGCATACGCCCCATTCACCTGGGCAAGACACTGCTGCTCAGCTGGCAGGAGCAGGGGTAAGGATGTCTTCTAGGGATGTGGTGATCCACTCTAGTCAAGAGGATGTCCAAGACCACCAATTCAAGAAGTTTACCCCAGACCTCACCAAACACCTATAATCCAAGCTGCCTCTGCCTTAACAAGCAGCAGCATGAGAACATCAAACACATTATTCCCTGAAATGAGACTACTCCTATACCAGGACACTACCTGTGAATGTTGCCTTAAAAGGCACCAGCCCTCTTCCTTCAGTGTCCATCCAGGGATTTCATGTTCCTCCTCCCCATCTGCCCCCCCCCCCACCATTTCCCCACAGTGCAGAAAACTGTTTTATGACATGGAGGTTACCTGAGCTGGATTCTGCCTCTTGTACTGCAGCAGCTCCTGCAGGTGAATCTGGAAGGTGAGCCAGCTCTCAGCCAGGTATCTGCACAACTCGGGCACACTCAGCAGGTGCGGCCGGGCGCCTGACCCCGCACCCTCACTGGGGAGACAGGACATGACCCCTGGAAGCCTCAGACACCAGCTTCCTAGGCACTCATAACCCTCTGAGAATGCCAAGGAGATCTTCAGTCTAAACATGTGGACAACCCCACTTCCCAAAGGGAGGCTGGCCTGGTCTTGGGAAGCAAAGCCCAGAGTTTCCAACCCTCTGCCCCAAAAGAAGCAGGCACCCAAACACCTAAACAGGAACCCAGGACCAAACTTGTTGCCAGTCCATTTGCTATGCTGGGGTCTGTGCTGTAGTGTTACCCTGCAATGTGGTGACACTGGCACCAAAGCAAAATAGGGTCTGGGGTATTTGTCTTCAAGAGATGACCTGCACTCACCTGTCAGAGTGTGGCTCCTCTGGGGATGATGCTATAAAGAGAGGAGGGGAAAATTATTGAGTGGAGACATGTCCCGGGGCAGGAATAACTGCCCCACCTCTGCACTTTATTCAGATGCCAAACGCAGGAAGAAATACATTGTTATTATGGCTTGCATTTGTATGCCTGACTCCTTTAAACCTCACTCTTCTTTTTTTAAGGACTTTAAAATTATTTTTATGTAACCTTTACACCCAACGTGGGGCTTGAACTTACAATCCCAAGATCAAGAGTCACATGCTCTACTAACTGAGCCAGCCAAGTGCTCGGAACTTCTCTATTGGGATGCCCAGGTGGCTCAGCGGTAAGTGTTTGCCTTCAGCTCAGGGTGTGACCCTGGAGACCCAGGATCAAGTCTCACATCGGGCTCCTGCATGGAGCCTGCTTCTCCCTCTGCCTCTCTCTCTCTTTCTGCATGTCTCTCATGAATAAATAATAAAATCTAAGATTTATTTAAAAGAGAAAGATGCAACAGAAGGAGTAGAGGAAGAGGAAGAAGCAGAAGAGACTCCCTGCTGAGCAGGGAGCAGGATGATGGGCTTGATCCCAGGACCCAGAGATCATGACCTGAGCTGACGGCAGATGCTTAACAGACTGAGCCACCCAAGGGCCCCTAAACTTCACTCTTTTCAAACACACTTTACTCGTGTTTACATCCCAAGCAGCTCACACAGCCTGACATCTAACTGCTCCTATGAGCTCGCTCAGTCCTCCCCTCTTTACTAAGTACATTTTATCACCCTCGTTTCATAGAAGAGAAAACCGAGGCAAACACAAATTGAGTCGCTATTACAAGGTCACATACACGGCGAACGGAACCCGGGCAATGTGGCTGTAGAGCCCACGCTGTTTACTACACTCACGGTAACACTGATTTTGAGCTGGAGAAGTGGTGGTGCCTGGACGCTGGCGGCCCGCCGCACGTTCGCCCTCCTCCCCAGTCAACCCACCCGGCGGGGTCGGGCACGGGGCAAGTGCAAGACACGGCTTGGTGGGCGAAGTTAACACTCACCCGAGAGGTCCGGGAAGAAGCGAGGCTGCCAGAGATCCAGCAGAAAATAGGCCAAAAGTGAGACGCTGAGTAGGAAGAAAGGCCGGAGGGACGACGAAGAGAGCAACCTTCGGGAGAGACGGGCACCGCGGCGCTGAGCGGCTGAGCCTCCCACATCCACCGCGAAAGGCGGAAAAGCGCCCACTGATGGGGGAATGGGAAGCTCCGGGCCTAACTCGAGACCCCAGAGAGAGGGATGGGCAACCCCGACGGGGGTGCTTCCCCGCGGCAAGCGTCAAGCCCGGGCACGGACACGGGGGACACGGGGCTCCCGGGGCTCCCGGCGCCCCCGCCCCCCCGCGCGCCCCCGCGGCCCGGCCCCGCCCCCTCCGCCTCCGCCGCGGCGGTTACCAGAAGAGGCCGTTGAGCGCGGCCGCCGTGACCAGGCTGTGCAGCGGCTTCTCCCACACCAGCAGCCGCTGCGCCGCCGCCAGCACCGCCTCCCAGCCGCGGAGCCGCAGCCACAGCGTCGTGGCCAAGCGTCCCACCGCCTCGGCCGTGGCCGCCTCCTCCTCCGCCTCGCCGCTGGCCTCCCCCATGCCCAGGCTCAGACCCAGGCCCAGCCCGAGGCTCAGGCCCAGCCCCGGGCCGCCCCCCGCGCCGGTGCTCCCTCCGCCGCCGCCGCCGCCGCTCGCCATGGCCCCGTCGCAGCCGCCGCCCGAGCTCGCGAGGAGCCAGGGCTGCGCGGCCGCCGCCGGGGGCGCGTCAGGCGGAAGGGGGCGCACGCCGCGGAGAGCGCAGCCCGGGCCGCCGAGGCCCGTCACGTGACGGCGGAACGACGAGCCCGTCACGTGACGCGCCCTAACCGCCGGGAGAGCGCGGCCCGCGCCTGCGCGCAGGCGGCTGCCGGCCCCCCTGCTCCTGCGCAGGTTCGTGGTGCAGCTGCCGGAGTCGCGTCGGCGCTGGGGCCGCGGCGCTGCTCTGCCCTTCCGGCCCGAAGGGGCCGCGAGGCCTCACGCCAGCCCGATTTCTGCCCCCTGTACGGGCAGGGCGGCGGGGGGGTCCGTGACTGGCCCGGTGTTCCCGGTGCGCTGCGGACCGAAGGGGCAGCAAGTCGGCTTCCAGATGCCCAGGGTCGCGGGTGGGACCTGCTGCGGCCCGCGGAGGGCGGCGGCCGCCCTGTTCCTCAGCCCCTGACTTTCTGGTGCTCCCAGGTCCCTCCCCTCAGCGGGTAAACAGACACCGGCGCGTGACCCGAGCGACTCAAAAACAGCCTCACCTAGTCTGAAGAGTAGTTTCCTCCCGTCCCTTTCCGTAACCTTTGCTGCCAGCGCCTCTGGGAGCTCTCTCCAATCCCTCGCTCAAACAGGAGGCTGGGGTTGCGGGGTGAGTCTAAAAATAGAATCCTGTTGAGCTGTTTGCTTTGGGGGCGCGTGTTACTGGTATTTATTGAGGCTCCAGAGTCCCAGGCGCTTTATAGTCCCTCGTGATCCTTGCTTTCTGCAGCGACCCCGCAACACACCTACTTGTATAGCGAACTACCGACAAGGAGGAATACGGCAAGACGTAAGTGTTTTTTCTCCGCCACCTTGACCACAGTGTTTTTGTATTCTTTCCAAAAATGTTCTCTAGGTGTCTTAGGTACGTCTTAAAACAAACAAACAAGGAAACATTTGGCAGCAATTCGTTGTCGCGCATCTCGCTTTTCAGTGACTTGAACGTCTGCGTCGGTACAGAAGGCGGCCGGCTCGGTCACCCCCCGCGAGGCGTGGCCCCCGGGACTGTCCCCATCGCCCAGGCGAGGGCTCGCCGCGCTCGGGGCGGCCGGGGGGGGGGCGGGGGAGGCGGGCCCAGCGGGCGGCAGGAAGCTCCGGGCGGGGGCGGCCGGCGCTGGGTGAGGTGAGCGCCCCGGCCCCGAGGCCCGCACCCCGCACCCCGCGCCGGGGCCCGGATCGCCGAGCCCGGAGCCCCGCCCGGGGCGGAACAGGAAGAGGCGCCCGCCAGCCCGGCCCCGCCTGCCGCCGCCGGCGCGAGGAGCCGAGGCCCGGGGCTGCGCTGGGGAGGGCGCGGGCGGGCGAGCGCTCCGCGGCTCCCGGACACGCGCGCGTTCCCTTCCACGTTCGCAGGGCGGCAGGTGGCGGCGCGATGGACCTGGCCGGGCTCCTGCGGGACGAAGAAGGCACCTTCTGCCTCACCGGCTTCCAGGACTTCACGGTGAGAGCGCGGCCCGCCCCCTCCGTGGCCTCCGCGGGCGCTCCCCTCGGCCGAGCGCGGCCGCCAGCGCGCCTGCCTGCCGCCTGGGTCTGGAAGCCGGGCGCGAGCCCCTCGAGCCATGCCTACCCGAGGCCCTGGCGCCTTGGGCCCGGGGGTAGAGGAACGGGGTAGGGTTGGCCTCCAGGACCTTGTCGGGAGGACCTCTCCGGGGGCGAGCCCGTGGTGCAGGATCTCCCCCACCCCCTAGGTAGGCCGCCGTTGGCAAATAATCCCGAGAACCGGGCCGGGTGGGGGCACGGGCCTCCTAGCAGTGAGCTGAGCCTGCTGCCCCGCACCCCACTCCCACCCCGGAGCCAGGATCTCCACCGTAGCCTTCCTTCCCTGGCCTTCACCGGCCACCACCTGCCGTGTCAGTTCCTCCCAGGACACCAGAAACTGAGTGCTCGGATCCGAAGGAGACTCTACTATGGCTGGGACTGGGAAGCTGACTGCAGCTTGGAGGAGCTCTCCAGCCCCGTGGCAGGTTAGTGTTGTGTGGTTAGAGAGAAGCATGAAGGTGGGGCTGTCAGAGGCCACCAGAGTGACTGGGTGTATACCCCACGAGCTGTGTTGTCTGTTCCTAGCTAACTTATCAATACCTGGTACAAGGAGTGGGTTTCCATTTCACATTTTTTTTAGTTCAGATGAGTAAAATACGTCACTGTCTTACGAATTTGTATCGCTCTTGATTTGTAAATGGGCAACGTAACACATGTATCCCAAATTTACAAGGTGTGTTTATTTTCTCAGATGGGTGGGATGAGAGACAAATCAGGGTAATTTCAGGTGACCCGCAAATAAGCCCTTCCTGCTGGAAGGAGCTGAAAGTCAAATGTGGAATGGGCTTTTTGTCTCAGGATGGGAGAATTTGTTTTGTTTTACTGTGGTTCTGTCCCTAAGGCCTCAGATTATACTGATCCGACTCTTCTGCTGATAGCAGTGGGAACTAGGTGTGCGTGGGGGTGAGGTGGTAAGGGAGGAGTTGCTTGCCTATCTGTCTGCCTTTTTGCCTCCTGTAGACATTGCTGTGGAACTGCTCCAGAAGGCAGCCCCCAGCCCTATTCGTCGACTCCAGAAGAAATACGTAGCTCATGTGTCCAGGTGAGCCTGGAATTGAGGCCGGCAGGACGAGAGAGTGTTTGGGCCTCAGAGAAAGGGAAGTGTTTATCTGTAAAGCAAAGGTGTAAAGGCACAGGGATGAGCGTTGTAAGAGTGGTAAGGGCTGAAAGACCCTTGGGGTTAATTAGAGATCTTTCTGCCACCCAGGGAGGCGTGCATCTCCCCATGTGCTATGATGCTTGCCCTGGTGTACATTGAGCGGCTCCGGCATCGAAACCCAGGCTACCTACAGCACGTGTCATCCTCTGACTTGTTCCTGATCTCCATGGTAAGACGCCCCCTCCCCTCCATCTCCCTGCTGAGCCAGAGGCTGACCCTGAGCTCTTGTGACACCGCTTCTGGCTCCTCTGTAGATGGTGGCCAGTAAGTACCTCTATGATGAAGGGGAGGAGGAGGAGGTCTTCAACGATGAATGGGGAGCGGCAGGGGGCGTGGCCGTGCCCACTCTCAACGCCCTGGAGCGGGGCTTCCTGAGTGCCATGGTGAGTAGCTGTTCTGTCTCACTCAGCTTCTCTGAGCTCTCGTTATGTTTCTTTCTTTTTTTCCTTTTCTGGTAGTGCTCTGTAGTTTCTTTGTTTCTCTTTTTGCCTCTTTTCCTTGTGTCTTATTAGTGGCTTCCCTTCCCAGCCCTTCTGGACCAACCACAGCCTTTGGAGGTTCCTGGCATGGTGAGGCCAGAAATGAAGTATCCCCCACCCCTTCCTTCAGGCCCTACATGTTACAATCTGAGTCAGAGCTTATCTCACTGGATTCTGAATATTTGCCTCCAGACTTTCTCTGCCTCACAACTCTGAGCTTCCTATGGGCATGAACTATTCTTAGGATTATTTTCAATCTCTGTCTTTAACTGAGGGGTGTACTATGAAACAAAATAACATGGTGTTAAATGAGTTAATATGTAAAAGCTCTCGAAGCAAGTATCTGCACGTAGGAAGTGCCAAGTAAGTATCTGCCGGAGTGGTGGTTGTAGTTGGTGCCGTGGTCCTGGTTATTCAGTGACTGTGGCTCGTATCTGAGTTTGGTCTGGCGCCCTTGTTTTCCTGCCCACAGGATTGGCGTCTCTATACTGATCCTCGGGAGATCTTTGAGGTGCTGAGCTGGCTGGAGAGCTGGTAGGTTCTAGAGTTGGGGAGAGAGGCTCAAGGGATTTGGGGGCTTAGCCCTAAATCGTAAGAAGGAGACAGAAATAAGGGTCTGTGTCACTGGGGGGAGGGAGGAGAGAGGAAAGAAAATTGCCCAAGATAGTGGCTCCTAAACCTGTCTGCCCTCTTTGTAATCACCTTTGGAAGGGCGGGAGAAGCTCCTACAGATCTGTTTCACTCTCAGTTTCTGGATCAACAGGTAGCCTAGGAATCTGTACGTGTAACAAGTTCCCCAGTGTGTCCCGGTGGGCCCCCAGGGGAATGAGGGTGCCACTGGGCCCGCTGCAGAAGAGCTGCAGACGCCCCTTGTCTTTCTCCCCTGCCAACAGTGTGGCTGAGCAGCAGGGACGGCGGCGGGGCTGGTATACCTACACAGACCTGTGTGTGCTGCTGGAGCAGCCGGCCTGGCAGTTGGCCCTGGGCTCCCTCTGCCAGCGCCTGGCAAAGGTGAGGATGGCTGCGAAGGCAGGGGCCTGGAGCGGGCGGACCTCTCTGTAGGTGTGGGATGGGCAAGTGCTGCAGGTCTTGGGAGATGGGGTTTGAGACTAGGTGGTGACAGCTCTGACTTGAGCACAAGCTTTCGGACAAGGAGTGAGTGGGTTAAAGATAGTCAGAAGCAGGTTTTAGGGGAAGGGTGTTTGGGAACTGATTTTTCTTACATTCTCTCTTGCAGCTGTCTTGCCTGTTGGCTATGGCATATGTGAGCAGTGTGGCCCTGGCGGTGGCGTCGGTGGCTGTAATTCATCAGTCCTTGGGGCTGTCCTGCAGCCCCTCCCCAGGCCCCCCCGACCTTGGACTGGTCTCCAGGTGCCTCTTGGAACCCTGCCTACCTTCTTCTGTGCCACAGTGCCTGCCGCGTCCTGCTAATGTCTCCAGCTGCCTAGAAGGCGACACAGGGCTGCGTTCACTCTGGGGCAGTCTTCTGGCTTCACTGACACCTCCACCATTGCCTCCCCCAGACCCTCCTGCCCCTCCCACTCTGCTCCATAACTGTCCCCTCTGCCAGAAGCTCCAGAGAGATACCCCAAGCTGCCACGCCTGCCACCACTCCAACCATACAGTCCCCACTGGGCCCCCCAACCCTGGGTACCACTCCCGTAACCTGGCTCCCCCCTGGCCCTGGAGCCCAATGCCCCCTCTGCTCCCCCAGCCCCAGCAGTGTTCCCTTTTCAGTGTCATGGAGCTAGCCCGTCTCAAGTCTTTCATTTTCCCAGGCTAGGCGGGCCTCTGAGGAACACACTAAGAGGATCTGGGAGTCCCTGAGAACCTGGAGGGGCAAAGCTTGATTTAGATCCTCTCTACCTCTCTGGGTCCTTGGCTGGTCCCTGTCCTCCTAGGCGAGGGAGCTTAAGGGGCTGTGGCACCGAAGGACTGAAGGTCACTCACTCTCAGTGGCTGGGTGCTTGGCCAGGGCAGTGATGATACCAGGGAAGGCTGCAGCTTCGTGACCAGGGCCATGTCACGACCAGGGCCTTGTCACAGCCAGACCAAGAAGATTCCTTGTCTCTCTACATCCCTCGGTTCTAAACTTTGGCTTTTAAGGATGGAAGGGGAAAAGTGGGGTGAGGGAGGGAGGAAAAATTGGGGGCCTGTGTGATGTCCCTGAAGCAGGAGAGTCAGGGACTGATAGGGCCAAGGTGGATCTGCCGGGGGAAGGCTGGGTGAGGTGGGGAACCCTCTCCACACCCATCCCTCGGATATAGCCTCAAGGAGCCAGGGACTGCTGGGACCTTCGGCCTTTCCCTTTTGTCTTCCAACCTCTTCTTAGTACCTTGCTCCTGGGCTTCCCCTCTTCCCCTGGTTCTTCTCCTGGGTGTTCTCTTCACGGGCCTCTGTGGCCACTGCTTTGTATCTGGGTTTTTCACGCTTTTGTAGAACTGAGGTTTCAATAAACAGTTTCAGTTGCACGGCCTGGATTTTTTTCTTCTGCGGCAGCCCTAGCAGAATTTCCCTCTCGTCTCTGTGTTCTAAGCCTTTATACTTCCTGAGCCCATTATCTTGCAACTCATTCTTTCAGGGCCCCATTTTAGAACTTCCTGTTGTTTGAGGGGCGCCTAGGTGGTCAGTGGGTTGGGCGTTCAACTTTTGGTTTCGGGTCAGGTCATGATTTCAGGGTCCTGAGATCGAGCCCTGCCTTGGGCTCCATGCTCAGCGAGGAGTCGGATTGAGAGTCTCTCTCTCCCTCTGCCCATCCTCTGTTCTAGCATGCAAATACATGCACAGTCTCTCTGTCTCTTTCTAAAACAAATAAATGTTTTTTTTAATGTTTTTTTTTTTTTAAAACTTCTGTATTGTTTAATGGTTACAGGCTTCCATTTCCAACGTCCCCTCATCCCTGCTTCCAGCACCCTGCGGCCCCTGGTGTTGCTTGACTTGGGTCCTATGGGATGCCTGAGGTGGGCCCTGTCCTTGTGGATCCTTAGAGGCCAAGACCAGCATCCTCTCTCTACCCTGACTTCCAGTCTCCTCTGACACATGGTAATAATGGGTGGTGTTAAGAGGAGTCCAAGGCTGAATTATCTTTGGAGGAAGGATAACCCTTCTGGCACCTGGACTGAGGGCATTTGGGACAGGTAGTACTGCCCCCTAGGGGGCATTCTGGTAACTTACAAGGCATTTTTTGAGGCAAAAATGTGAAGGGATGCTGCTGGCATTTAGCTGTTATGTGCAGGATGCTAGGCAACCTGAACTGCTTGAGACTCTTCCCTTATTATGAAGAATTCCCAAGGCAACTCTTGAATGACCCACTGGACATCATGTATATGAAAAGCCTGTTCATGTGAACCTAGAACTTTTTAGCACGTAAACACGAGATAGTTTGCACATTTTGAAAAAGACTGTTTCCAAGGAATGTACCTACGTGTAAATTAAAACTGGACTTTGCTTGGTTCAGCACTTTGCCAAGAACTTGCTCGTTATTTTGGAACATCAGGTCACCAATGGCAGCGCGGCTTGTGGCACGTGAGTCACCAGGAAAGCACCAGAATCAGTGGGCATTGTAGACACCACATCCACGGTGATTCGACATGCGGGCTGGCAGTGCATTACATTGTCTCCTTGTTTAGCTGGGCCCAAGCTTTCACATATGAGATACTTGTTATCAATCACCTTTATTTCTCCTTTCTGTTACAGTGAGGATATTACATGGAGTTGTGGTCACTGTTGCCACGTGCCATGTATGGATATTACTTACCCATGCATTTCCTTCCTGGGGAGTCCTGGGGGCTGGACTCCGAAAAGGCTGAAAACTGGTGTAACACTGATCTTTCCAGTTGCTGGTGGTGAGGAGGGAACACTGTAAAACTTCCCCAGGATCTTTGATAAGTCTTCTCCCCACCCCTCCTCTCCGCATTGCAGAGCGTGGAACAGGGGATCTAGATGGAGATTCTTGGGGGGAGGGGTCTAGAATGTGGTTCCACAGTTAATGGGTGATGGAATTTGCACAAGAGCTGGGCAAAGGTGAAAGGGCCTGTCCTGCCCCAAATCCCTCACCCCTTCGCTCCGCTTCACTGACACCTCTACCCCCTCCCCACAGCAGACAGCTAACTTCATCCAAACTCTGACCTCTTACACTCTCTACTTAACTCTGGCCCAGGACAGCCAAGACAAGAAGAGAGCAGGGCTGCATGAGCCGATCACCCCACCATCCCATCCAACTCCGATCCATGGACCTGCAGGATGCCCTGGCTCCTCTGCCGTTGTCGTCGTCACCACTGCCATCACCGCTGCCGCCACCACAGTCTGCTGTTCAAAATCCCTCCTCTCACCTTTGGGCTTCTCAGTGTGGGCCTCCTCCCTGGGGCCTCAGCTGTCTTCTGGCTCTGCAGGTAGGAGCAGATGTGTAGGAGTTGGTGCTGGCTGAAGAAGAGTTCTGGGGGGATAGGTGTGACCTGAGAAGCCCTCTGGCAAGGGGTATTTCCATTTTTTCCTGAAGACCACCCATCCCATTCCTCCTCCTGCAGCATATCTTGGTCCTGGCTTCTCTGCTCTGTGCCTCCCACCTGCTCCTGCTTCAAGGACTCCCGCCAGGAGAGCTCTCTTCCTCCCCTGCCCAGCTCTTGGCCTCCAGCTTCTTTTCCTGTGGTGTGTCTACCATCCTGCAAATTTGGATCGGCAGCAGGTGAGGGGAACTCCCTGAAGAGAAGGGGGCGGGGTCCCACGTGTGTGTGTGTGTGTGTGTGTGTGTGTGTGTGTTTGTGTGCTCGTGTGAGTGTGGGAGAGGCCTGAGGAGTCCTTTCAGTTGCTGCGTTTCCAGACCTGCCAGGGCTGCTGTTCCTACAGGCTGCCTCTTGTCCAGGCTCCATCCTTAGAGTTCCTTGTCCCTGCTCTGGTGCTGACCCAGAAGCTACCTCTGGCCATGCAGACCCCTGGAAACTGTGAGCGCAGAGCCAGGCCAAGGGGTGAGGGTGGGGTGGGGTGCCAATCTGAGCCTCCGGGTGTACGTGGGTGCCGGATCGAGAGCGGGTGGGGATGGGAACCACCAGGCTGTGGGGGCTTGGAGCTGTGCCAAGCACCAGCTAGGACTGTAGAACACTGGGGTTCTGTCCTGCTTACCGCTGTCCTCTCCACACCCCCAACTTGTCCCTGTCCCAGCCTCCCTTGTGCTGCGCCGGTGTGGGGGGCCTGGCTGCCCTGGCCTGGCGCTCTGGAACACTTCTCTCCGAGAGGTGAGTGCCTGAGGATGGAAGGCAGGAGGGCTGGAGGTGATGGCAGGGTGAAGGCGGTTCTTGTTTCCAGCTGGTGGGGACTGAGATGGTCTGGGGGAAGGAGCGAGGGCAGAGGCCCACCCCCAAGAATTCATCAAGAAGTCCAGGCCTAAGTCAACTTCGTTGAGCAGAACGCTCCCTCTTTGTTCTTTTTCTTGGCTCCTCCAGGTGTCCGGGGCTGTGGTGGTATCTGGGCTGCTGCAGGGCACGCTGGGGCTGTTGGGGGGTCCTGGCCACTTGTTCCCCCACTGTGGGCCCCTGGTGCTGGCCCCCAGCCTGGTGGTGGCAGGGTTCTCTGCCCACAGGGAGGTGGCCCTCTTCTGCTCTACTCACTGGGGCCTGGCCTTGCTGTACGTAAGTCCTGAGAGGTGTGAGGTGGTGACCAGTGGGCTGTGCGGGACCTGGAGGCGGGGGGAGAGCAGCTGGCCCTAGCCAACTCAGCAGCCATCTGAGCAGGGCCAGTCTCTTGTGGATTTGGAATCCAGGATTTTGGCTGGATTCGTTTGGTCTCCCTGGCTTTTACACTGTCCCCCGCTAACCTCCCCCCAAGACATCCTCCTTCCTCTCTTCTCTGGGACCCCTTTTAACGAATTATTCCGTTCTTACCTCTATCACCCGGCACAGGAGGCCTGCTTCCTCTTGCTCCTAAAACTCCTTCTCTCTCCTAGGCTTATCCTGCTCGTGGTGGTCTGTTCTCAGCACCTGGGCTCCTGCCAGGTACCCCTGTGCCCCTGGCGGCCAGCTTCAAACTCTTCACCCCACACTCCCATTCCTGTCTTCCGGCTCTTCTCGGTACGTGAGAGTCTGGCCAGGGGCAGATGAGGGGAGAAGGAATGGCATAGAATGCTCGCTCAGCCTGCTATCTTTTGGCTTCTGTCTACCCCTCAAAGGCTGGCCTGGAAGGTTCTGGGGGAGGGGTTCTTTCCTGCCTCAGTTTTTGCCCCTCAGGTACTGGTGCCGGTGGCCTGTGTGTGGATCATCTCTGCCCTTCTGGGGCTGAGCCTCATCCCTCTAGAGCTGGCTGCGTCCCCCAAGGCACCATGGGTCTGGTTGCCTCACCCAGGTAGGTTCGTTCTTCGTCCTCCATCCTCATTTCTTTGGACTCAAGATTTAGGGAATTTCATTTCTGAATTAAATCCTGTGTTTTCTCAAAACACATGGGGGAGAGAAATTGCCAGTCTGAGGGGGGCAATGGCAGCCCCTTGCCACGGGTGTTTTTTGGGGGTGTGAAGAGACATCTGCAGGCCCACCGCTCCCTGTTGATACTCCTTACCCAACTTACACCTTTGTGCTACCTCCCCCCACAGGCATTTGAGTTGGTGACCTACATATACAAATTGCTTTTGAGGCGTTGTGTACAAAAGTTGTTCATTCGTCGATTTAACAGAGGTCTGTGGTGTGCTGATTTTGTGCTGGGCATGTGATAGGGGACGTGGTGATAAATATGACACAGTACCGATACCCCTGAAGCTTATATCTGCTGGGGAATGCAGATCCTGATTAAATAGTCACCCAAGTAAATGTAAAATTGCATGTGGTAAGTGTGACAATGGGGAGATACCTTGTGTAATGACAGCTTATCATGGAGACTCTGTATTCGAGAGATCAGGAAAAGTATTCTTGAGGAAGTGATCTCTGAGCTGAGATGTGAGAGATGAGTAGGAGCTAACAGAGTGAAGGCCAGGGAGAAGAGCATTCTAGGAGGGAGAACAGCATATGCAAAGGCTCTGTGGTAGCCAGCAACACACCTAGTACAAAGGGCATGAAACAAGGCCAGTATATCTGGAGTGAAGGGAGTGAGGCAGAGTGTGGTGAGACATGACGCCTTGTAGACCATGGTAAAGGGATGAGTTTCTCCTGGGTTTATTGGTTTTGTTGCAAGAGATTGTCTTCAAAGACAATGGGGTTTCAAGGATTCCTATGGCACAAAACCTTGAAGGCAGGGAGGTGCTCCAGCCTTGAGTCTGGCCCCAACACAGCTCTTTCTCCCTCCCCAGCTGAGTGGACCTGGCCCTTGCTGACACCCAGGGCTCTGGCTGCAGGCATCTCCATGGCTTTGGCAGCCTCCACCAGCTCCCTGGGCTGCTATGCCCTGTGTGGCCGGCTGTTGCAATTGCCTTCGCCCCCTCCACATGCGTGCAGTCGAGGGCTGAGCCTGGAGGGTCTGGGCAGTGTGCTGGCCGGGATTTTGGGGAGCCCAATGGGCACTGCATCCAGCTTCCCCAACGTGGGCACAGTGAGTCTTATCCAGGTATGTGTGTGGGGGTGGGGGCGGGGGCGGGGGAGCAGGAGATGTGGGCGATGGGGGGACACTCCTGCCGTGCCGCCTGGTTGCCACCTGCGTCCTGCACTCTGTCACGCTTGCCACCTCAACCATCTCATTTAGGGAGGTGCCTAGAAGTGGAAAGGGGCTAGGAGTGTGAGGAAGACACTAAGCCACCATTCCATTCCTTCTGTTCCCTGGGCTGGGAGTTGGTGAGATCAAGTCTTATAAAGTCCCTGCTCTCTTGGGCACTTCAGAGAGGGAAAGGCAGACAATTTAAGGAAAAATGTAAGATAATTTCAGAGTGATAGGTGCTATCAAGAAAACAAAGCGGGGGAAAAAAAGAAAAAAAGGGTAAAAATTAAAAATAAAGTCTTTAAAAACAAAAAAGAAAACAAAGCAGGGTAGTTGTGGGATAGTGGTTGAGAAAAGGAGGACCCTTCAGGTAGAGTCCTTCTTGGAAGGGTACCATTGGAGTTGGGATCCAAACGATGAGATGGGCCAGCCAGGCAAAAACTTTGAAGAGTTTTGTTTGAAGAAGTGGCTGTGTCTTCCAGCATGTCTCCTCCCCCTAGGCGGGATCTCGGAGAGTGGCACACTTGGTAGGGCTGCTGTGTGTGGGGCTTGGGCTCTCCCCGAGGCTGGCCCAGCTCCTCACCACCATCCCGCTGCCTGTGCTTGGTGAGTGGACGTATCAGCGGGTCTGGTATTGAACCAGAACTCCCTTCCCCCCTCCAGGATGGCCCAGCTGGTTGCTTGAGGCTGGCTGGCACCCTCTCTTTCTGAACAGCCCCCCTGACATGGATAGCAGTGAGCTATCATTTTCCCCAGCCCAACGTCTTGGCCTCTTGAGTGGGCTTCTGGTGTAACTGGAAAATGAGTTGTCTGTCTCCATCCCAACCTGCCCCGCCCTGCAGTCCTCCCTGCCCTGCCAGCCCTTCCCAACCCCCTTGGTTACTTCCCTACGAGACAGGTGGGGTACTTGGGGTGACCCAGGCCGTGGTTCTGTCTACTGGATTCTCCAGCTTCCACCTGGCTGACATTGACTCTGGGCGGAATGTCTTCATTGTTGGCTTCTCCATCTTCATGGCCCTGCTGCTGCCAAGATGGCTTCGGGAAGCCCCAGTCCTGATGAGCACAGGTGGGAGGAGGAGGGATGGGAAGAGGAGGAGACCCAGGGCTGGAGGCTCCGGGGCTTGGAGGCTCTGTGGACTCCAGGTCCCACACCCTTTCCTAGGCTGCGGTGTAAATAGTTCATCCCTTCGTATAGCAAATATTTATCAAGCATCAGATAAGCCCCTTGGGATACAAAGGTGCCTCCAGAGGTTACAGTCTAGTAAAAGAGAGAAGAGCTACGTACAACTATAACAGGAAAGGGTCAGATAAGGAGCTGGGGTGCTCAGTGGTGAAAGAGAGTTTCTGTTTAAGATGATCCAAGTTAGGTTTTACGGAGAAAGTAACATTTTGCTGGTTTGAAGGATGGTAAGATCTGAACGTATTTAGTGAGAGGAAGCTTGTTTCCGATGGGGGAGCCATCATAAACAACAGCCTAGATGTAAGAAGTCATAGGGTATGTCCAGGGAGCAGCAAATACCTTAGTTTGTTAAGTGCAGCCTAGCTAATAGCAGTGGCACTCAACAGGAGGATTTCCCCCTGCAGAAAATATCCAGAGACATTTTTGGTTGCTACAAAAAAAGGAGGGGATTGTTATTGGCACTTAGTAGGTACAAGGATGCTGTTAAGTATCCTACAATGCACAAGACAGTCCCCCTCAAAGTGCTATCTGGTCCAAAATGTCAGTAAGTATTGAGGTTGAGAAAACCAGGCTAGAGCATGGGAGGTAAGAAGTGGGGAGCAAGATTGGGGCATTTATATATTTATTTGTAAGATCGATTTATTTTTATTTTAGAGAGAGGGAGAGAGAAGGTGCTAGTGGGGGAGGGGCTAAGGGAGAGGGAGAGAGAGAGTCGACAAGCAGACTCCCCATTAAGCTGGGAGCCTGGGAGCAGGCTTGACCCCAGGACCCTGAGATCATTATCTGAGCCAAAACTGAGGGTCGGCTGCTTAATCAAGTGAACCATCCAGGTGCCCCATGGTTGGGGCTTTTAATATCAAACTTTCCAGAGCCTGGAACTATCAAAATATATCTGGAGGGCCTGTGGATGGTCAGAAGACAGGATGATGGGCTGGGATCTTGTGGGAAGGGCCTAGATGAGGGAAATACAGAGTAGGGGGGCAAAGGCCGGGGGAGACGAGATAACAATTCAGAAAGATCTGTTTTCAGCCTGAGATTTAGATTTAGGTATAGAAACAGAAGATTCTTTGACCCTGCATCGGATCAGAGTTCCCCTCCTGCCTTGCCCCAACCCTATGTAGGCTGGAGCCCCTTGGACGTGCTACTGCGCTCGCTGCTCACAGAGCCCATCTTCCTGGCAGGACTCTTGGGCTTCCTCTTAGAGAACACCATTCCCGGTAAGTTGAGGTCAGGCCCCAGCACAGTGGGGGAGTAGCCAGGATGTTCTCACTCCCTGGATAGGGCAATGGCCTGACCAACATTTCTTTTGCAGGTACAAGACTTGAGCGAGGCCTAGGTCAAGGGATGCCATCTCCTTTTGCTGCCCCAAAGGCTCAGATGCCTGAGAAGTCCAGGGAGAAGGGTGCCAAAGAGTACGAGCTTCCTTTCCCCATCCAAAAGTTGCATCCCTGCATCCCCCAGCCCCTCCGTTGCCTCTGCCCGCTGCCTGAAGACCCTGGGAATGAGGAAGGAGGGCCCTCTGAGCCAGGAGAGACAGCCAACTTGTTGCCTGGCTTTGGGGAGCAGTGTCCTGAGTCTAGCAGAGAACTTGGGTCCCAGTGATTACCAGGACTCCTACTCCTGCCCTGGTTAGTTTAGCCCTAACTCCCAGCTTGCTGGAGACTCAGCTCCCAGGTTCTAATTTCTCCTAGAAAGAGGTGTAGAGGTGTGTGTGTGTGTGTGTGTGTGTATGTGTGTGAGAAACGGGCCCATCTAAAGCTCATTTCTCGATAGGTGTGTTGCCTTTCCTTCTTTTAATTAGGCCTAACTTCAGGTGGGGGCCATGGTTTAGTGGGCCAGGAATGAACAAATGAGATTCTGCATGTGAACTATCTAGTCGAACCCCAGCGTTCACTTAAGAAATATTTATTGAAGGCCTCCCATGGGACGCCCAGGTGGCTTGGGGGTTGAGCGCCTGCCTTCAGCCCAGGGTGTGATCCTGGAGTCCAGGGATCGAGCCCCACATGGGGGTCCCTGCATGGAGCCTGCTTCTCCCTCTGCCTGTGTCTCTGCCTCTCTCTCTCTCTCTTTCTCTCTCTGTGTTTCTCATGAATAAATAAAATCTTAAAAAAAAAAAGAAAAAGAAAAAAGGTCTCCCATGTGCAAGGTCCTGGAATTACAGATATGGATAAAACACAGTCCCTGCCTTCTTTAAGGTACTTACCATTTAAAAAGACTTATGTGTAAAAAAAAATAAAATAAAAAAAATAAAAAGACTTATGTAATCACTAAAATCTAAGGCAAAAGGCAGTCTATAATAAACATTAAAACAATGCTATGGGAGCAAAAACGAAGCAACAATGAATTCTGACCATGGATAGGGGCAAACAAAGGCGGCACTGAGGCTGGCCTCCGCACGAGGAGGATTTTGGGTTGTGGAAAGTGAATGTGGAGACTATTTCAGGCCCAGGTATTCAGCAGAAACAAAACCATCAGTTGTACAGAGTAGATAATGAGTTGTGGGGCTTCAGGTTTCTCCGTGGTGAGGGGGCACACGCATGGGGTTAAGCGGAAGGAGAAATATGGGATGAAGGCCGACCATGGGGTTTGTGGGTGAAGACCCCCTCAAACAATTTGAGTGCTAGAGAGGACCAGAGAGATTATCTAGTGAATTTCAACCTCCTCATTTAAAAAATTTATTTATTTATAAAGATTGTATTTGTTTGAGGGGAGAGGGGCAGAGGGAGAGGAAGAACCAGACTCCCTGCTGAGCAAGGACCTCGGAGGTGGACTTGGGGCTTGGTCCCAGCACCCTGAAATCATGACCTGAGCTGAAGGCAGACTCTTTTTTTTTAAATATTTTTTTAATTTTTATTTATTTATGGGGGATCCCTGGGTGGCGCAGCGGTTTGGCGCCTGCCTTTGGCCCAGGGCGCGATCCTGGAGACTCGGGATCGAATCCCACGTCGGGCTCCCGGTGCATGGAGCCTGCTTCTCCCTCTGCCTGTGTCTCTGCCTCTCTCTCTCTCTCTCTGTGACTATCATAAATAAATAAAATTTTTTTTAATTTTTTGTTTTTTTATGATAGGCACACAGTGAGAGAGAGAGAGGCAGAGACACAGGCAGAGGGAGAAGCAGGCTCCATGCGCCTGGAGCCGGACGTGGGACTGGATCCCGAGTCTCCAGGATCGCGCCCTGGGCCAAAGGCAGGCGCCAAACCGCTGCGCCACCCAGGGATCCCTGAAGGCAGACTCTTAACTGAGCCAGGGATGCGCCCCTCCTCATTAAAAAAAAAAAAAAAAAATTGGTTGGACAGGTAGGGGCGGTAAGTGACCTGAGCTGGGTAAGTGACCTGAGCTGCCGACAGGGCCACATCCAGGGAGCCCTCCCCGGCTCGGTGCAGGGCCCTCTTCATGGGCCCGGGCGCCTCCGAGGGGCGCCGCCCCGCTCCCCGAGCCCCCCGGCGCTCCTCCCGCTCCCCGGGCCCCGGGCGCTCCTCCCGCGGCCCCCAGCGCTCCTCCCCGGAGCTCCTCCCGCACCTCCCCGGGCCCCCGGCGCTCCTCCCGCTCCTCCCCGGCGCTCCTCCCGCTCCTCCCCGGGCCCCCGGCGCTCCTCTCGCTCCTCCCCGGCGCTCCTCCCGCTCCTCCGCGGGCCCCCGGCGCTCCTCCCGCTCCCCTGCCAGGAGCCCCAGATGCCCCGCCCACGCCGAGCCCGGGCCCCGCCCCCCATCCCCCGCCCCCCGCCCGAGAGGCCTCCACTCTAGGCCTTTGGGTTGGCGCGGGCCGGCCTGCAGCCGGGAGGCCGGGAGCTGTCGCGGCCGCTCACGGTAGGCGGCGTCGGGGGACTCGGGGCCGGGCCCGGGGCGGGGCGGCGCGGCGAGGGGCCGCCGGGACCCCGCGGGCTCGCAGGCTCGGGCTGGCGGCCCCGGAGGGCGGCGGCGGGCCTGCGGGGCGGGGCGGGGCGCGGGAGCCGCGCGTGCGCAGCCCGCCTGCTGGCGGTGAGGCGGGGCTTGGGGGGCCGGCGGCGGGTGGCTCCTCGGTCCCCGGGGGCGGGCCGTCGGCTTCGTTACCCCGGGGGGTCCCGAGCCGCGTCCCGGCGCCGCCGGTGCTGTGACGTGCAAAGGCGGACGGCGAAGGCCCTGGCAGCGAAGGCGGGGGCGACTGCGCCGGCCGGGCCCGGGGGGGGGGGGGGGGGGGCCGCGGTCGCGGCCCGGCTGCCCCCTGCAGGATGGCGGGGGAACTGCGCCGGGAGCGGGGGCTCCGGAGGGCCCGTGGCTCCGGATGGCCCTCGGGCCCTCTGCGTCGTTCGAGAATAATAAACGGGTGAATGTAGGTAACGTGGCGGTTACGGACGGTCTTGAAGGGAAAAACAGGACGGGATGCCGAGCCTTGGACTCAGTGGGACGCGCTGGGCGGGCGCAGCCAACGCCAGGTCTGGAGCTGAATGTCTCAGACCTTCCTATGGGGCCTGTGGATCTCGGGCACGTTTTTTAAAATTTTTATAAATTAATTTAAAAAAATTTATTTTTATTAATTTTTAAGTTTATTTTATTGGAGTTCAATTTGCCAACATATAGCATAACACCCAGTGCTCATCCCGCCAAGTGTCCCCCCCAGTGCTCGTCACCCAGTCCCCCCCCACCTCCCCTTCCACCACCCCCCTGTTCATTTCCTAGAGTTAGGCGTCTCTCATGTTTTGTCACCCTCACTGATATTTTCACTCATTTTTAAATTCTTCCCTCGCAGGTGTTTGGGTGGCTCAGTGGGTGAAGCGTCTGCTGTCAGCTGGGGTCATGATCCCACGGTCCTGGGATTCAGTCCCATATTGGGGCTCCCTTCTCAATGCGGAGTCTGCTTCTCTCTCCACCCCTCCCCCTTGTTTTCTCTCTCGAATAAATACATTTTTTATTTTAAAAAATTTTTTTATTCATGAGAGACACACAGAGAGGCAGAGACACAGGGAGAGGGAGAAGCAGGCTCCCTGCAGGGAACCTGATGCGAGACTCCATCCCTGGACTCTGGGATCCTGACCTGAGTCAAAGGCAGACGCTCAACCACTGAGCCCTCCAGGTATCCCATTTTTAAAACAAATAAATAAACTCCTCCCCTGTCCCCCAAACAGGACCAAAAAACAAAACAAAACAAAAACACAACCCCACAACAACAAACAACCCAACCAATTCAGTTTGAGGGTTTTGAGCTCCCAGGCTTTCCAAAGTGATGGACCAGGGAAATCAACCCAATTTGGGTCACTCTTAGGGAGCACCCTGCAGAGTCCTACGGGGACAGGCAACCTCACTTGTTCCCTGAATCTGTGACCTTTGGCAATGTGGAACTCTAGTGAGGACTGGCTTAATCATTCCAAGATCTCCTCCCCGTGGGAAATGACTGTCGTCCCATCCTCCAAACACAAGGTTTTGAGGCTGCTGCAAATAAAAATCGCTGTACATATTTACTTTTCACCCAACTACGGGCTGCACACATGAAGTTTTGTTACAGGGCCATACTTCAAAAGCTAAATTATGGTTGGAAGAATGACTGGAGGAACAGAACTATGCTAGCTGTGTGAATGAAATGCAAGGAATTTCATTCACTTTGTATTTATAGACTGAAAAAATGAAGAGAATGGTATCACTCTACTCCTTGCTCCCCCACACACACAGAAAAAATGACCAAACTTCCTGCAAAATAGCCATAGTCATTAAATATCTACTAGGTTAAAACTACAAACATAGTCGTTGAAGTAGAAAAGTTGGTTTCCAGGATTTCCAGGATGTACAGCAGGGCATGATGTTGTCCATGGCTGTACTTGGGTTGGGATATGGGGGATGAGTGAAGCCAACTTTAATGAATTTTTTCTATATCTGTGAAATGCTGTGTCTTGTATTTATGACTTCTTAGTCATCTAGGTTCTTGAAATGGGATTTGGGGCTTTTTTTTGTTTGCTTCTGGACACAGATTATTAGCTCTTTATTTGTGTCATTGATCCCCTTGAGAATTTGACATAGCTATGGACCTCTTTGTCCCAAATGGCTATATGCATGTCTACACAGATGTTGCTGGTAATTCCAGAAGATTCACATGCATAGGCTCTAGATTAAGAATCCCTCTTTTCAGGAATGTATGTATCTATGTGTATATAAATATTTAGAGAATATACATACATATATATATACAGAGAGAGAGAGAGTGTGTGTGTATTTGAAAATCTGAGATTTTCTGGAGTTTTATTTCTAGATAATGATCAGATAATTTAAATTTCCTGCTCACAACACTTATGACGATGTTTTATAAGACAAGAATTATATCTTCTAGAAGTTCTGGGAAAGGCTAGCATTGGCATATTTATTAGGGATATGGTAAAGAATGGTTTAGGTTTCCACATTAAGTTATATTGTTAGAAAGCAGAAATACTAAGACTAATATGCTGAGGCTTAACCACTATAGAAGAAAGACATTTTATGCCCTTTAGGAACTTAATTTGAAAAAATGAATTCTTTTTCTATAGTGAAGATTTATTTTTAAATAATTATGGAGTTTGTTCAGGGATACATAGTGTGTACATGAATATTCTAATTTTTTCAATTTACTCATCTTGTGATATATAAATCTATGCATTACAACAGTGTAATCAACATATGCTGGTTGATTTTTCATTTTAAAGACAAGACCAAAATCAAAACCTGTGAACTTATTATACTTTTCAAACTGAAAGAATCAAATAGCTAGCTACAATTCTAAAATAGCATCAATAAATCCAGTATTTTTCTTGTAAGTATCAACAGGCTATACTGAAACAAGGTAAAATATAAATACCCTACTCTGTACTTAATTTGAAGTGTTACCACTGAAATCAATTACAGATGTTTATTCTGAGATGCTACTATGAAGGTTGTAGACTCAAATGCTGATAATGGTAATCAAAGTTAAATTTATGGGATACCCAGAAAACAGGCTGGATTGAAACCTGTACAATTTTAAAATACTCATTAACAACAATTTTTGAAAGACACATAGAAGGCTAGTGTTTTCATATAAATTGGGAGTTTTAAAATCATCTCCCTTTAGTGCTTCAATTGTCACATGGCCATAAACCAAAGACTAAATCATTTCAAATGATCACAAATACTATTTAGGCAAAAATTCTCATGTGTCAGTACTTTTAATGTTGTATACATCAAATTATAGTAAAAAGATGACTATAAACAACATGCAGCCCCGCTATTTTCATGAACGGCACAACAGATTACAGTGAACCGAGTTTATATTCCACCATCAAGTGTGGTTCTCCCATTAGTTCACTTTGTGATGGGTCATTAAGAATATCTTCAAATCTAATAGTCTCATCATTACCCCTTAAAATATCCAATGAAAGGTTTGAGCTTGCAAGAAATGGAAGACGCTGAACCTGCTGCACTGCCTTGAATTCCATTTGTAATTTTAGTGGAACAAACAGACCCTGGAGTTTCTTAGTGTAGAAAAATTCATTTTATCTTGGTTGAGCTGGAAATTTTTTTCTGATAATCCAGGAGGATGACTGGGCAAAAGTTCATTTTTCACACGAGGGAGACCTTTTCGAAGAAGATAATGCTGTTCAAAAGGTCCACTTGCTGAAAGTTAACTGGAATACTCTCCTTCAGCTGAGATCCAAGTCCTCTGGCATTCATCTTCACTTGCTCTGTGAACAGCCACTCGGCCCTATTACTGTCAGCCGGCCCCACTGCTCACTTCCCTGAAAAATTGAATTCTAAATAGATTTTTCATAGCCAGGAGGTAGTAAGGTGGGGCAGGGGATGGTGTGTGTGTGTGTGTGTGTGTGTGTGTGTGTGTGTGTAAAATGTAAATCCATGCCTTCCATCTCCTTAGGGAGGAGTCCTTCACAAGACTTATTTGATGCAGAACTGTTTAAGTGGTGCCCCATCCCCAGACTGTGGGGCCAATTCCCTAAATTAAGGCTTTTCTGCAGATGAAGGAACTGGAGCAGGGCCTGTTGATGCAGCCATGGGCCTGGCTACAACTTGCCGAGAACTCCCTCATGGTCAAGGCTTATATCACCAAGCAGGGGTACGCCTTACTGGTTTCAGATCTTCAACAGGTGTGGCATGAAGAGGTGGATGCTAGTGTGGTCAGCCAGCGAGCCAAGGTAAGTTGAAGAGAAGTACTGCTGTGGGGGTGGTGTGGATATAATTTCTCTTAGTGAGGGTTGGGGTGTATTCACATCAACCAGCTTGTGGGCTTGTAGGTGGCCAAGGGAGGTCAGATCAGGTTGAGACAATTCCAGCAAATGGCCTGCCCTTCCATCTAAAGCCCTGGGATCTTTCCATATTTCTGTCCTTATGTTTGTTTTTTGCGCTGCCCACAGTACAAGGTAGGATTGTGAAGTAGGCCAGTTGCTCTCTCTGTGTTCTTCTTTCCTCTTCCTGTTTATTTTTTTTTAAATATTTTATTTATTTATTTATGAGAGGCACAGAGAGAGGCAGAGACATAGGCAGAGGAACAAGCAGGCTCCCCATGGTGGGGGGACTCGATCCCAGGACCCCGGGATCACCACCTGAGCTGAAGGCAGATGCTCAACCACTGAGCCACCTGGGTGCCCCCTCTTCCTGCCTTTTTGTCTTCTCTTCATCTCCACTGCGCTGTCTTCATGTTAGCCAGAGTTTTCCTTTACTGTTGGGGGGAGTCTGTTTCCTTGTTATACCCCGACTCCATACAACTCCTGCTGTCTTTTTAGGAGCTGAACAAGCGCCTGACAGCTCCACCTGCAGCTTTTCTCTGTCATTTGGATGATCTGCTTCGCCCACTGTTGAAGGACAGTACTTTCCCCAGCGAAGCTATGTTCACCTGTGATCATGTGGCCGAGGCACTGATACTACGGGTGCGGAGTGAACTCTCTGGTCTCCCCTTTTATTGGAATTTCCACTGCATTCCCGCTAGCCCTTCCCTGGTGAGTGTAATTCAAGTGTGGAGTGGGGAAGGGGAATGACAGCTGCTTCAAGATGAATCTTTAGGTGCTCTTATTTTTGTGTGGATTCCACTTGAAATTCTTCTTCAGTCAGAACACTTTCCTTGATTAGACGGAAGGCAAAACAGATTCTCGACTGGTACATCTTTTCCTTGCAAAGGGAGCAGGGTTTGGGTTTACCTGCTTTATTGAGCATCTTTATTTATTAATTCAACATTTATTAAGCATCACTTTAGACTGGTTGTTAGGTGTCCAGATCTAAAACAAATAGCCTATTCCTGGAGTTTATAATCTAGTGAGAAGATAGGCAGGAAGCAGAATAAAGTATGGTAAATTCTTTGGTTGAAGTAAGCTCAGGATGAGTGAAAGTTTGAAAAACCTTTTTTTGAAGAGTTTTTTTTTTCCTTTAGAAAGTGGAGGGGGAGGGGGAGGGGAAGAGGGAGAGAGAGAGAGAGAATCCCAAGCAGGCACCATGCCCAACAGGGAGCCCAACATGGGGCTCAATCTTACAACCCTGAGATCATGACCTGGGCCAAAATCAAGAGTTGGGTGTTTCACCGACTGGGCCACCGAGGCACCCCATTGAAGAGATAGTTTCTAAGTTGTGTTTTGGAGATGAGGAGGGGATAACTGGGAGAAGATCAGGTCAGTCTAGGCTGGAGTGCATTTTGAGAGACAGGGAGATGTATAGGTGTGGGGCAAGGGAGGGAATTTCATGACTGCAGGAAGTTGTGGGAAATGAGGTGGGCAGTGACCAGCTTTTGAAGAATTCTAATGAGTTTGGATTTTATCCTTAAGGCAACAGAGATTCATTGAAAAAGTTTATTTTATTATTAGAAAATATTTAATTTATTTATTTGAGAGAGTAAGAGCCAGAGAGATCAGAGGGAGAGGGACAGGGAAAAGCAGACTTGCTGCTTAACAGAGATCCTGGTGTGGGGCTCGATCCCAGGACCCTGAGTCATGACCTGAGCTGAAGGCAGATGCTTAACCAACTGAGCTACCCAGGTGCCTGCACTGAAAAACTTTAAGCAGGGGTTTAACATGATCCAGTTCAGATTAGTCTGGCAATAGGATAGAGTACGTGCCAGTGTTAGCTACCTTTCTAAACATTTGTCATTGGATCCTCATGACTATCCTGCAAGATAAGTAGTATTTATTCCTTGTTTTCAGAGTAGGAAGCCAAGATTGAAGGCAATGTGTCCAAAGTCATCTAACTTATAAGTGAATGAGCTGGAATTTTACTCCCAGGGAGGTCTGATTCGAGAGCCTATTTTCAAGGACTAGGATGATAATGTCTTCTGCTCACACAGCTTTCTAGGCTCCCAGAGCTTTTATTTTTTATTTTTTTAAAGATTTATTTATTTAGTTATGATAGACACACACACACACACACACACACACACACACACACACACACAGAAGCAGAGAGACAGGGACAGGCAGAGGGAGAAGCAGGCTCCATGCTGGGAGCCTGACGTGGGACTCGATCCTGGGACTCCAGGATCGCGCCCCGGGCCAAAGGCAGGCGCCAAACCGCTGAGCCACCCAGGGATCCCTCCCAGAGCTTTTATTAGAAATTAGTTTCACATGGGAGACACCTAACTCTGGGAAAGGGGTAGTGGAAAGGGAGGTGGGCGGGGGGTTGGGGTGACTGGGTGACGGGCACTGAGGGGGGTACTTGGCAGGATGAGCACTGGGTGTTATGCTAAATGTTGACAAGTTGAACTCTAATAAAAAAAGTTAAAAAAAATTAGTTTGAGAGAGATGCTGGGGTGACTCAGTGGTTGAGCATCTCCCTTCAGCTCAGGTCATGATCCTGGGGTCCTGGGATCGAGTCCCACATTGGCTTCCCCGCAGGGAGTCTGTTTCTCCCTCTGCCTGTGTCTCTGCCTTTCTCTGTGTCTCTCATAAATAAATGAGCAAAATCTTTAAAAAATAAATTAGTTTGAGAGTAAACAGTAAGAACTTGTTTGCAGGAATTACTGCCACTGGTCCCTTCCACCCTTTTATATAAACAGAGCTGTTTCAGTCAGTAGCATTAGAGGCCAAGGTCTTCTATGGGAGGCCTAAGGGTGTAGGTTTTTTTTTTTTAATTTTTATTTATGATAGTCACACACACACACACACACACACACACACAGAGAGAGAGAGAGAGAGAGAGAGGCAGAGACATAGGCAGAGGGAGAAGCAGGCTCCATGCACTGGGAGCCTGATGTGGGATTCAATCCCGGGTCTCCAGGATCGCGCCCTGGGCCAAAGGCAGGCACTAAACTGCTGCGCCACCCAGGGATCCCTAGGGTGTAGGTTTATCAGCAGAAGCACTTGAAGACAAGTGGGCATCATTTCCTATATCCTTTCTTTAGTTTTCCTGAGGTCATGTGATCTTTTGGCATCAACGGAGTGGATGGGACAAAGTATTTTTGAGAAACTGTTCTTTGGTGGATTTCTTTTCTTAAGATTTATTTATTTATTTGAGAGAGAGAGAGAGAGTATGTGTGTGTGGTTGGGAGGGACAGGGCGAGGGAGAGAGAGTCTCAAGCGACTCCACGTTGAGCACAGAGCCCAATGCGGGGCTTGATGCCATGACCCTTAACTGAAACCAAGAGTCAGAGGCTCAACTGACTGTACCACCCAGGTGCCCCTCTGGTGGAGTTTTGATTTGGAATCCAGTAAAGGTGGACTTGAGTGCTTGGAGAACTTCTCATTCATCTCTGAATTTCTGAGGTCCATCAACAGTGTTTAGCAGATAATAGTTTTGATCTGTTGATTTTAGTGAAATTTTTTTGTCCAATTTTCCATCCTTTAGATAGTTTACCTCTTTGGTTCAAAACCCTGTAATTTTTTTCTAAGTAACACCAGGGGGCACTGTTCCCTCAATAATGCTTGTTCTGGAACCAAAAAAAAAAAAAAAAAAAAAATTAAGTGTTCCGGGAGCCCTTGGGAAGTCCTAGCAATAGCTAGTCTCACTGTGCATCACACAGCCCTCGAAATTCAGAATAGTGAGATTGAGAAGGTAGTTTTAGGAGGGTGATGGGCTCTGATAGTTTTTTTCCCCCAAATTATAAAGGAAACTCGTATAATGATATTATAGTAGAAAATAATATGTCAGGGGAAAACGAGCTATTCTAGGCAAATTCCTCTAATTGGGCAGCCCCAATAAGAAAAGAAGCTTCAGTATTGGGGAGACCATTGAACAATTGGTGAACAATTAGGCTTTAAGGTAAAATAAAATATGTATTATTATAAAAAAGAAGACTACCAACCCAGGGAAACCCCTGAGCCTGAGGAAGCTTTATAGGGAAAAAGTTAGAGCCAGCGGACACTGTCAAGGATGTAGGCGGATACTATTCCAGGCTTGTGTGTGTGTCTGTGAGGTCACACAGTCATAATTTTTGTTTATTACTCATTCTTGTGATAGTTTTTATTTCATTTTTTTTCAATGAGTAATTCATGCAAAAGGCAAACATTTCAAATAGCATTAAGAAAGGGTCTAGAGTGAAAAAATAGGTCCTTCTACTCCACCCTCTAGTCTCTTATTTTCCTTCTTTAAAGCAACTACTGATACCATCTTCTTGTGATTTCTTAAGGAAAGCTATATGTAGGTTTGTGTAGATGTAAGTATGTGTGTACTCACACAATCAAATACTTATCTGGGCGTATGGATGCCTTTTCACAAATGGCAGCATACTATCCACACTATTCAGTAGCTTGCTCTTTTCACTTAATTATAGAACTTAGAAAATATTTGTAACAATCTGTTTGGACAATCTGCTTTAATATTCTTTAATGGTAACATAGAGTTTTATTTGATGGCATATATCAACTTGTATTGAATCGATATACTACTAGTAGACACTTAAGTTGTTTTCATTCTTTTGCTGTTACACATAGTGGTTACTCTTGTATTTACTTTTCCTACGTGTAAATGTAGGAGTAACTTCCTAGCAATGGAATAGTTGAATCAAGGAGTATTTGGGGCTCCTGGCTGGCTCGGTCGGAAGAGCGTGCAACTCTTGATCTCAGGGTCGTGAGTCTGAGCCCCACATCAGGTGTAGAGATTGCTCAAAAAAATAAATAAACAAACGTAAAAAAAGGAATATTTGTATCTTTAGTATTGCTCACAATAATGCCAGATTGTCTCCCAGAGAGCTTGCACACCTAAACTCCTACTAGCCATGCAGGAGAGTAATAAGAGAATACAGCGTGTGGTGTGTTCACGCTAAGATCTCAAGGCTGCGCAGGATATCATGAAATATCTCAAGCCTCGGATCTCTGCTTTCTAGCCCATTTCCACTTCCAGCCAGCTTCCTTCATTCCTTCTTCCTCCTCAAAAATGAAGGAGTCCGAGTATGTGCTCACAATGACTTATCCAAGGTAATACAAATAGAGTGGTGGAGCTGAGTTACAAAAGCATGTGTGTTCTTCCTGCCACACAAAAAACCCATTGTATTACCTTGGATAAGTCTTTGAATTTTTATGAGACTTGGCTTCATCATTGATAAAGGGGAGGCACCAGTCCCAACCTTACTATTGGAATCCTGGGGACTAAATATGAGAACATACATAGTAGTACTTAGCTTCAGCATTACTGTGAACCTTTGAGAACACATACTCGGACTCCCTAATTTTTCCTTGAAGAAAATAAGGACCGTGAGAGTGCTTGGGATTAAGCCATTTTCACATCTAGATGCTCTCAGAGCCAGGGCTAGAATCTAGATGGAATTTCCAGTCTGTTGCTCTTGTCACCATATCCAAACCTGATAGGATTCATTTTGGGATTGATAACTGCCATTTAGCTCTCCTGCCTCTGACTGTCAACATTTCAATGGGAAATCTGCAGATGTCAGGGGGGGGTGGGGGTGGGAGGGTGTTATAAATAGATTTCCTCTGGAAAAGATTGACAACTCCTGCCTCTGTATCTACCACACTTCCTGACCTCCTTAACTCTCCTGAGCAATTTGAGGGCAGAAGCCTCATGGGGTCACAGCATGTTCTAGGCACATAGTAGGTGTCTGTTGAAGTGGCTTGTGGAATCACACTTCTTCATATATCATCGTCTGCAAACGAAGGGGTGGGGGTCTTCCTGACCTGAAGCGCTTCAAGATATTTCCTTGAAAATCCTTGTAGTATCTGTGGATTTGCTTTGAAATCTATTACTTCAGCCACATGACTTGTCCTAATTAATTGATCTAAGCATGCATCTAACTTGGAAATGAGTTATACCCCAATGATTCAGAGTGGTGTAGTCCAATTCTATGAAATTATTTGAAAAGTTGAAATATTTACTGATAAAAAGATAAATTATTTTTTTCTTTTTTGCTATATAGACATTGGCGTCTGGTACATAGCTTTGGGTGCCTGGCATGGCATTACCCTATATATTTAGATACAGCATTGATTAAAAGCTGTTTCTCCTTATGTTTCCTGTTTATTTACCACCACTCAAAGAGATCGCTGTTAAGGTGGATTCCCAGAGAGAGGCTGGTTGTCACCTTTAGGAGTTTCTGTTATTTGAGGGCTGCCGCCAGAGGGATGGTGATGCTGCTTGGTTACCAATTGCAATTACTTTCAGTTCAGCCCCTCTAAACACGGACTTGCTTTCATACAAGGATTCACCTATTTTTCCACTATTCACCTCGAACAGGACAAAACCTAACAAAATAGTTCCTAGGAAAGAAGGTTGGGTCTGGAGCAGATGAATTTCCCCAAAGCAGAACTTCTGCTGCATTTTGAACAGTACTTGGAGGCTTCAGTTTATCCTTAGGACCTGAACTGGGAACCAGGACCAGGTTGGGATGTGCTGCATGATGGGAAGAAGTGACTGGTGTTTCCAGCTCCATTTGACTTCTGGCCTTCTGCTCTGCATCAGCCCCCCTGCATTTATTGGGTCCTGGTGGTGGTACAAAAGCTGCTACCTCTCGCCCATATCCCCCTCACCCCAATCTCTTCTCTTCTGATCTGTCCTTAGAAAAGCGTAGGGGTGCCTATAATATGGCCAGTTGGCCAACTCTGGCTTGCTGCCTATTTTTCTGAAGTTATGTTGGAAACCCACTACCCTCATTTATTACATGTTGTCTATGGGCATTTTCATGAAGTAACAGCAGAGTTGAGTATGTTGACAGGGACTGTAGAGCTGAAAATATTGACTATCTGACCCATGCAGAAAATGTTGCTGACCTCTGATCTCGGACCTTTCTTTTTAATGTTTCCTTTAGCTCATCTCCTTGGGGCACGTGAAGGAAACCCTGATAGCATCCTTTGGTCACAAAGAGATTATTGATTTTATTTATTTATTTATTTTTAAAAGATTGTATTTATTTATTATTTATTTATTTATTTATTTATTTATTTATTTATTTATTTATTTATTTATTATTTATTTGACACAGAGAGAGAGTACATGCACAAGTAGGCAGAGCGGCAAGCAGAGGAGAGAGGGAGAAGCAGGCTCCCTGCTGAGTAGAGAGCCCAGTACGGGATTGTGACTCTGAGCCAAAAGCAAAGACAGACTCTTAACTGACTGAGCCACACAGGTGCTCCGAGATGATTGATTATAGTTATTTTCTTTGACTAAGGCTCTTTTCTTTCTAAGGCTACTGGACACCTTGTGTGGGTGAATTAGGTGATTCTATATAGGTATATGTTGTTATATGAGAACAGCATCCTAGTTGCACAGCAGCATGGCTATGCTTATGTCCTTCTTACCTTGTTAAGAGCAAGGTGTGCTGGGCCAGTTTCATCCTTCCTAGGCTGAACTCTTGGTGACTGGCTGGCTTCTGTTCCGATGACCTTAGACTTTGCTGCATTTGTGGGAGCAGATCGAAACTCTCATTCTGGACTATCATCAGCCCTGAAATGGCTCGTAAGCAGTGGCTGGGTCTAATTTCCAAGGCTTTCTGCTCTCTGTTGACTTTTGTCTTCTGTTATGTTCCAGCTAGCACACTCTTTTAGCTACACCTACTTTCCTGAAGCCTACTTGGATTTTCTGCTTTTGTTTCTTAGTCTCTGCAGGAGAGTTGGAACAACACCTTTCTCTTATCAACTCTGTCACAACCTTCTCTTTAAATCACCACTCTGGGCTGTCTATCCATGTGTTCTCCTCTCTCCTTCCCACCCTTTTATCTATGCTACAAAGAAAGCCCTCGAACTTCTTTCACATACCTATTCAGTTACTGTATTTTTATAGCCATGTAAATGGATTGCTTGCTTATGAAACTGTAAGTCCCTGTGAAAACATATATTTTTCAGTATTTTCTAGTTCCTAATATGGTGTTCGGGAGTACTCTGTAACTGTCTGTTGGCTGATTGATATCTCTTCCATGAAAGGTCTCCCAGCATTTGGTTCGTCCTCTCATGGGCATGAGTCTGGCCTTGCAGTGCCAAGTGAGGGAACTAGCAACCTTGCTTCGCATGAAAGATCTAGAGATCCAGGACTACCAGGAGAGTGGGGCTGTGCTGAGTCGAGGTGAGAGGGCATTCTTTGGGGTGTTGGGTGGGGACTGGTACAGGTGGCTAAAGGGCCTCAGAAAATGGGAGAGTCATTTGCATTAGAGGTGTGCTTCCCTGAGTTGGTGCTGGGTACTGACCATAACTGGAGACTTGAGGCTGGGTGATACTTCTCTCTGCCTTGATGACCCAGCTGGCACCCAACTAGCCAAAAGAAACTGTAGCTGAGTCCAGCCATTGCCCCAAGCAATGGCAAGGAAAGAGTTTGGAAAGGGGCCATCAGTTGTACAAAACTGTACGAGGGCAGCAGCACAAACATAGGGTGGGACCCTATGAAGCATAGCTCCAGCTTCAGAATAAAAATTCAGTTCGACCTTCGTCTTTGTGGCGGGATGAACTCCTATAGCACATGCTGCCACTGAACACATCCTGTGTTGCTAATCACCCTCTCCTCCTCCTCTGTTTGCTCACACACTCATCCCTTCTCCCACTGGACTCCGGGTGTTACATGTTTATGCTCCCTACCAAGAAATCTTGGGCTCTGTTTCTTTTCCTTCTCACAGGCAGAAAGCTCATCCTAAGACTAACATTTCTTTTCTGTATTATTACAGATCGGTTGAAGACAGAGCCATTTGAAGAAAATTCCTTCTTGGAACAATTTATGGTAGAGGTAGAGTATACAAAAATAAGGATTTTCTTTCTCCTTGTGCACTTTTGCTTTATTTTCTTTCCAGGTGCCCGAGTAGTGACTTGTGTTTTGGGTGCTAGCTGGTTTGCATGGTTGGAGAATCCTTTCTCTGCAAAAGTTGCCTATAGAAAATCTGTTAAAACTTGAGATGTGTGTGGGGAAGATGGGGTGAAATAGGGGGCAAGACTATGAAAGGCAGAAGTGGGCTGGTGAACATTTGTAAAAACATCTCTGCTAACGTACCTAGGAGTTTCATTTAGAATTCCCTAACCTTGGAGGGTTTGGTTGCCCAGTCGATCAAATTTTTGCTTGTTGAGATCTGATCACAGGTCTGGATTGTGGAGCAGGGTTTGGGGAGGAGTCATCATGACTTGCCCCTCCAACATCCCACAGTAGAGGAAGGTGAAAAGCACAGGGTTACCATTTGGGAACTGTCTTGTGGGCACAGTAGTCTGTGGAAAATCACAGTGTTTATACAAGGGGACTGGCAAAGGAATGAATGGGGAGTAGATAATTGTGGCCTGTCAGAAGCTCCTGCCTAGGTTTCTCTTCTAAGGATTGAGCTTGGCCAAAAGAAACATCTATTAAACGGCAAACAGGGGAGTATTAATAATAGTGACCTTTGATAATACCAGTCAATATTGATTTTCTCCTCTCACTCTTTTAGGACTTGTTGGTTGTACAGTTAGTACCTTCGTCTTATTGCCCTCTTTTCTAATTATACACATTAACCAAGCTGGTACTTTACTATGTAAGCAAATAATGCTATTATAATATTGTGTTCTGTATAGATTACTCGTGTTTCTGTCTTGTCATCTAGGCTACTTTGTAAACTCCTGGTGGACAGGGACTATGACTCATATTTCTTTTGAACATGAAGTTAGTATTTTTTGCAGGGCTAGGCAGAAAGCAGGTGTTTTTGACTTGGAACCTTCTGTTCTGCCTCTGCGCAGTGGCTGAGCAAAGACGCCATCGTGCTTGGGGTCTTAACAGTGAGAACCAAAAATGCAAGTTGAGTGCTCAAGTGTCTCCTGAAGCAATCTAACTCTGGAGAAGGAAAGCATGCACTGTGAAGTCCTGAGGCAGAGTAGATTTCAAGTCTTTATGGGGAAAGAGAGCCCCTTACACCTGGACTTGCACAGAGATTTCCTAGGCCATTTTTCTGTCGGAGAGCTTCCTCCATCTCTAAGTGTAGGTTTTAAGGAGGCTAATGCAGGCTGAGGATGATATGCTGATTCCGTCTCTGCCCCTTAGTTAAATAATACAAGACTTATTCTCAGCCCAGCAGAGAGGTCCCTTCCTGATCTGGTGCCTGCGTACCTATCCAGCTGGGTTTCTTGACATTTTTCTTTATAAACCTTAGGCTTCAGTCACAGAGAAGGGCTTTGAATTGCCAAAATGCCTTCCTCTCGCCTTTATGTCTTGGCACACATTGTTCCCTTTATCTGTAATGCCCAATGCCCTGGCCTTATCTACCTTGTAAACTTCTATTAATCTTTTAAGTGTCAGCTTTGGCTTCTTTGAGAGACCTTTCCAGACTCTCCTTGTAAAGATAATCCTTCTTCCCTGCTGCTATAGTACCTTGGTTCCTACCTCCGTTTTACCACATAGAACTTTGTGATATTACTGTCTATAGGTCTGCAAGACAATGCCTTTCTCCTCTGTTGATCTCTGAAAACCATTTGAGGGCAAGGACTGCGTTGCATGCATTTCTATATCCCCGGGGCCTGAACATAGTGCCTGGGAATAGTAGATTCTCTGTAAGTTTGTGGGTGAAGATGTTACTAATTTTGTGCTAGGGGGAGTCTCACGAAAATTGGGGCAGTGTGGCCTGTGGATATGGTGCTGCTGTGAGACCTAAGTTTGGGGTCTTCAGTTATTCTCCTGCTTTATTTTGCAGCTTTGGATAAATTAGTACTTCCAGAGACTCTGTTTTCTTATTTGCAAAATTGGAGGCTCATCTCTTCCATGCTTTTGGGGTAGGGGCAACCCTGCAGAGTCGAATGAGAAAGCATAGAATCCTGGTGCCAGCCCGGGGAAGAGTATTACTGCATCGGAACCAATTACCAATTACTTCAGAAATACTGGTCTCTTAAGTCCTGGGTGGATCACACCCAAACCACATAGACGTACAGAATTTTACATATCTGCAGAGGGTCTGAGAGACAAGTAGCTATAGCTTTCCATTTCACAGACTAAGAAATTGGACCTCAGAGAGGTTAAGTGACTTACCTAAGGTTATGTCGCTGTAGCTGTATGTTTAGAGCCCTCCTACATTTCTTGTCTGGGATCATCCCTATTTTGTTTTGCCACTCTAACTGGTTGTACACACCAATTAAAGGATGGTTAAGTGCTAGGATCATGGGGAATTTTTTTTTGAAGATTTTATTTTTTATTTACTCATGAGAGATACAGAGCAGGAGAGAGAGAGGCAGAGACACAGGCAGAGGGAGAAGCAGGCTCCATGCAGGGAGCCCGACGTGGGACTCGATCCCGGATCATGCCCTGGGCTGCAGGCGGCGCTAAACCGTTGCGCCACCCGGGCTGCCCATCATGGGGAATTATTGTGACCTCTGGGATCACTGCATTGTCCTCTGGGATCACCAAATGTTCTGCATAGCTGCTAGAACCCATTTTCTAATGGGACTGCAGAATTTCTTATGGCCACTGCATCTTTTCAGTTATTCTGCTTGTCTGGGGTCCTACAAACAGGACACAGAAGGGTCATGGGGTCACCTAAAACAGCTGAAAGGATGTGCCATCAAAATAAGCAACATAGGAAGATAAACAAACCAGGGACAGAGAGCTCAGGGTGAAGGTGCAGGGGGGCCAGGGCTGATGTCAGAGGGCCACGCGGTCAGTGCCTGGGGTCTGTTTTTCCTGGTTCTAGGCGAGAGGCTGGAGAGATAGGGCACAGAGGGCAGTAGGACAGGGAGGTTTCTAGGATACTAAGGCCAGGAAAATATTTAAGGGTTGAAGAGAGGTTACATCTTCATATTTAGTTCTTTTGTTTTTCCTCCCCCACCCCCCACTTTGAGCCTTGGATTTCTCATTTCCAAGGAGCCCAAGGGGGCCAGTTGATGGTGGCCCGACTGGAGGGGGAGTGTCCTTCAAGTCGACTGGGCGGGGTGGCTTCAGGCATGATTTTCATAGAGGGAAGATCCTCGTAGAGAGCATCTCCTAGGACTGGGAGCTGGGAGGCACCATTAGGAGTAGGAGATAAGTCAAGGAATCAGGGACCATTACTGCAAGGCAGTAGGAACCGTGTGAAAGAAGTTTAGGAGGATCAGGCTGGCATGGCCTTCTCTCACTCTGGTCCACTGGAGGGAGTTCCTTCTCCCAGCCCCATCCATGCCTCCTCCTCTCCATCTGGTTGCCATCAGGCTGTGCGGCTGCTGGCGGGCTCTTTATTTATTTATCCCAGTGTAATGGGGTGAGGAGGGAGCTGGCCTGAGGCTGGCATTCCGAGGCCATGCCACTGAGCCACAGGCGGTTTGCATGGGTGTGTGAGTCACTGGGGCTGCATGCTGCTCAAACCAGACGCGGCCAGGCTCAGGGACAGCAGGCAGCCCAAAATAGAGCCCCGCCCTCTGCAGCTGGCAACCCCTGGCCAGGAATCAGCCCTTGACACCAAAACCTGAGCAGTTGCATGAAGTTGGCTTCCTTAAGTGGGGGTGGGGATGGGGGGGCACTTGACAGAGAGATCCTCTCCTTCCCTGTCTTCAGAGGAGTGTATTCAGCACAATAGTCCTTCCCACTGATGCATGCCTTATACGATTTAAATTAATCTGTTCAATCCAATACCTTCAGCAGTTTCTATCATATACTTATATGACTCTAGCGACATTGATTTGACTCAGCATCCTAAATGTAGCCAGAGCCTTTGTGTCCTGTCTAGTTTTAGTACTGTCTTCATTCCCTGTCTGGTTGCAGCCTGTTGCTAGAGCAGATGCTTCAAGTTGTGAAGATATTCACTGCTGCCCTTAGAAAGCTGGAAGTTATATCAAAGCCGCCCTGGGAAGAGGAGGAGGAGTCCTTGAACCTGGAAATTGCTTGCTGTCCAGTTGAGTTCATTCACGGACAGCTTCTGCTTGGTTTCCTTGGCTGGCGTTCCATTCTTTACCTGCTCCTTAAATGTTAGTGTTAATTCAAAATTGTGTCCTCATCCACTTGTCCTTCTCTCCCTGGGTCATCTCATCCAGACCCCAGTTTGAACTGTCACTATTATACCACCAAGTGCCAATTTTATATCTCCCATCATGCAGCCCATATTTCTTTCTGCACATTTGATGTTTCTACCTGGATGTGTCCCACATTGTACTACCCTAAACATGTCCAAAATAAGCCACCCACTCCCCCTCTTTCTCTTCTGATATTCCTAATCTTGGAGAATCCTACCCGTATCCATTCAGCTTTCTAAGCCAGAAACTTGGGAGTTACTCACTTTTCTCTTTGTCCTTACTTTCAAATCCTACTTGTCAACTATCTTTTGAATCTGCTCCTCTCTTATCTGGCGACTGTTGCCTTAGAATAGCAGCACCCACCCCACTCACCCCACAGTTGAATTTGTATTATGTCAGAGTGATCTCTTTGAGACAGAAACAGAAATCCAGTTGCTTAAAGCAAGTGGTTCAAACTCCTTGCATGGCACACAGGGTCGTTCATGATTTGGTCCTCTTGACCTCTACAGCTTGATCCTCTGCCACTTTCCCGAACTGAAGTCCTGATGCTTATTTATTCCTTGACCAGTGTGCCTGGGATTCTCTTATTTCTTGTCCTCACTGCAGACTCCTGTTCAGCTTTCCTGACTGCACAGACATCATCCCTTTTGTGAGCTTTCCATGACCATTTCTCCTTTCCTTGGTCTGTTTTTCTTGCCGGCACAGGTACACTCTCCTGCTGTTCCTGCCGCCTCCTGTACTGACTGACCTCTCCCATAGCATTTGGAAGACATGAAACGAACAGGATATGGAAATGAAAAG